GTAGCAGTAGGAGTAGGAGTAGTAGGCATCATAAAGCCCAATGTTCAGTCTTATGGCAGTTCTGTATCCTTGCGCTTCAGCTGCCTGTACAGCCTGAGAATGTCCTTTGCAATGGATCCGGATCAGGAACACGACGAGCTGTTCGGCTCGTTAGTAGCCAAGCAGGCGAAGGACTTCGGCAGTGCTCTCTTGGAGGCGACTACAAAGACTCAGGACGTTCTCCCATCCAAGTCTCCGCGACTGGACAATGGCAAGCGAGGTCGCACACCATCGGGGGACAACCAGCCCTCCAATCCTTTTGGGGGAGGGGGCAACCGTCAACGGGGCGGCAAAGGGGACAACCGAGGCCCTCGATCTCCGCAAGCCATTCTGAAAGTAATGGGGAGGCTCTTGCTACGTCAGGAGACCAGCATACAGATCCTCAAGCAGAACTCGGCATGGGATGTTTACCTCCAGCCAGGAGCACAGGGCCCTCTACCCCTCCTGTTCAGGGCGTCCGAGACCTACAGAGCAGAGGCCAAGACCAAGCGCATGGATTGCCCGCTGAGAGCCCAGCTGCTGAACACCTTGTTTCAGACAGTCCTGCAGTGCATCAAGAACATCAAGGAGAGCCCGGAGCAGCTTCAGGCGGTCCAAAACCGTGGATGGATCACGGGCGACGGTCGATGGGTCTACCAGAGGTGGGACCCTCAGGCGCAAGCCCTTGCAGTCGACGAGGGGAGGACCCCTCTCGAGCATCAGGAGCTCGTCACATTGCTGAGCCTGATGGCTCAAGCGGTCCGTCAACGAGATGTTGTGCACAGGTTCAACGCGACATATCCGATCACAGTGGATCAGCGCAATACGGCCAGGTTCATGCTGGAGATTGGGCTCAGGGCGAAGGGAGTGGGGGATGTCTGGATAGGGCTCGAGGCCCTGCAAGGACTGGCAGCCCTACAGGTTGTGGGGATGCAACTTCGACGAGATGGACTACGACGATCGAGTTTAGCCGAGGACCTCCAGAAGATGCTGAACGAGTTGTGAGACTGGTCCTCAGGAACCCATCCCAACACTGCTACATTAACTCTTTTGCCTTAGCATGGCTTTGGGCTTTCTGTCTCCTTGAGGCGCCGGATGCACAATTCTTTGGATGTTTCCCTCAGGCCTGGAGAGACATTCTTTACAATCCGCAACCACTCACAATTTATCGATTGGCATCGTGGACCAGGCTGTTTCGGGGTTGGCAGTCGCCAGCCTCCCAGCATGATGTAGTGGAGTTTATCGCTCATCTCACCTCGCGAATGCAACCACTAGTTCTGAGAGGTGAGTGGCAAGCCAGACTGGGGATTGGCGGGACACAGGCCGTGACCGTTGATTCGGGCTATCTTACTAGCCCCATCATCCTGCACCTACGAGGTGATGGCGGCGATGATACCTTGCAGGGATGTATTGATCGATGGCATCAGCAGGCTCATCCACACGGCTTGAAAGAAGCGTACCCTGTTGTGCTTATGCAACTGGCCAGATACTCCTTTGGGGCCGATGGAGCAAGCAAAGATCGCTCGGGGATTGCGATCAGCCAGCGAGTTTTTCTTCCTGTTTTTGGTCGTGGCCTTACAGCCTTCCGAGCCACGTACTTGGTATGCTCGATCATCGTTCATCATGGAGTCCAAACCAATGCTGGACACTACACCTCATTGTTACTGGAGCCGGGCGCCCTGCCCAGGAACAACTACTGGGGAACCGATGATGGGAAAGCGGCCAAATCTTATGGCCGTATGCCCAAGTGTGTCGAGCGTGATGCCTATGTGCTCATATTGATTCGCTGCAGGTTTACAGCTGCTATGGGCTCCACTCATGAGCCTCTGAGCTGCGGCTCGCTGGCTCGATGAACTCACCAATAGGTGGCACGTGTGCTTTTGACTGAGGCACCCGCCGACAATAGTGTCGGGGTAGTGTTTTTGGGCTCTACAAAGTAGAGTGTGCTCCGAGAGAGCGCCGATACTATGTATCGCCATCGACGGGACGCCAAGCGGACTTCTCGCTGCGCATGAGAGAGAGAGAGAGTAGGAGTAGTAGTGGTGGTAGTAGTAGTAGTAGTAGTAGTTGTGATAGTCGTAGTGGTAGTGGTAGTGGT